ATCAAGAACAAACACTAGCCAGTTAAAAATAAAATCAATAATGTCACATCAAGTGGGATAAATAAATAATGCAAATAAGGCTGAGGTCATAACAGTAGAAAACAATGTGGAGAAAAGGGAACACTTGTTTGGGGAGTTTGGGAGTTTTTTAAAGAATTTTTTTTGAGAAGGGAAATAACAAATTTTCTGTGGTATTGGAATTGAGTCATATAGCATAAAAACAAACTGCAATACATATGTTTGTAACTTTTGCATCAGTTCAACACATATCTACTTAGGAGTAGAGGCCCTAGGCGATACCATTTTTTCTTACTCTGTAGAAGTCTCAAAAGCTTGACACTGCTGTTTTGGAACACTAAGTGGAAGCCAGCATGACTTGAGACTGTTCTAAAATGAGCCTGATGCAGCAAGCAGATGCCAGATAATGAGAGCCACATTAAGGATTAAGTCATTAGCTTAAGAACAATGGGGAGACAACTAAAGGATTTTAACTAAGGAAAACAATCAGATTTACATTTTAAAAGATCACTCTAACACTGTCACAAGGAGAATGGGTGGAGACTAAGTCAAGAATACTTGGGAGGGAGACTAGTTCAGAAGCAACTTCTCATTTAAGCGCCTGGCAAGAATGGTGGCAGAAAAATAAAAAGACAACAGATTTAAAAAAAAACAAACAACACATCAGCTTGGATAGAATGATTTTTAAAAAGATGATAAAAGACCAGTTCTGACTCAACAGTGTGCAACAATGAAAGACTAAGGTACAATTCAAACGAGAAATTCAATGATGGTGAACAGCAAACTGAGCACAGCTGAGGCTTGTGAGTAGCATGGAAGCCGTGGCCCAAGCTGTTACTGTCAGGTGCCATCGAGATGAATCTTGAAATTAGCCCAAATCCTACGCTACACAAACTACAAAAAAAGACACTCACTGCTGACCATCCTGTGGGTTTTCAGAGGCTGTAAATAACGAGAACGCTGCCCACCTTCACCCAAGGAGCAGTCAGTCAATTCAAACTGCCCATCTTTGGGTTGACAGGGCAACTCCCTCCTGACTGGGCCACCAGAGCTCCCCTTACATACGACAAGAGACAAAAAAATACGAAAGAGGGAGGTTTCTCTGGATAGTTCTGGAAAACCAAACAAGAAGCTAAAGTACCAGAGAGAAAAATAACTGAAAATTAAAATTTTCAGAATAAAAAATAAAACCCATCTTTAAGACCATTAACAGTCATGTTCCTCATTAATTAAAAACGCTAACACCTAAAATCTAGTCCCTGACAAAGGACATCATGCATTAAAAACTAGAGGGTCACTTTAAAATAGAGGAAAACCCTCAATGACTGCCACAGTGAGCTGAGAATGGCAGAAATCGTGAGGACAGTGCAGCACAAAACAAGGTTTGATCTGTTTTGTAAGGTCATGAGTCAAAGACTACTCAACAGTTCAATGATTCTAAGCTTAAAGGAGGCACTGAAATGCAGGGCACCTTTCCTTCTTGTTAAAAGTTTTTGTTTTGTTCCTTTTTAAGAGATAATGGCACTTGGATTATGTCATGCACTGCTGTGATTCCAGTTCACAGTATCCTCACCATATAGAACCAGTTGACAGGTTTCTAAGGCTGCCAGACTGCCCCATTTTTCTTCCCTGGGGCAATTGGTTAGGTTTGGACTTTTCTGTCAGTGGTCAAGTGCTTTACCACTTACTCTTCTTATACCAGTAACTATCCCCCTAGCTTTTAGTACCTTTGGAATATTGTTGTTGTTACGTGCTATCAAGTACAACCCACAGGGAACCTATGAAAAGCTCTGAACCATGTCCTGTCCCATGCCATCCTCATACTTCATGACACCATAGAGGCCCTTGTGGCAGCCACCGTGTCAATCTACCTGGTTGAGGGCCTTCCTCTCCTTCACTGGTCTTCCACCTTTCCAAGCATAGTCGTTGTCCAAGGAATAGGCCCTCCTAGCAACATGTCCAAGGTATGTATCCTTACCTCCAAACAGCACTCTGGCTGCATCCTCTTCAAGACATACTTGTTTGTTCTTTTGGCAATCCATGAGATGTTCAGTGCTCTTCAACACCACAGCTCAAAGACATCAATTCTTCTGTCATCCTTGTCCAGTTCTCAGACGCATACATAGCTAGTAATTGGAAAGACCATGGCCTCAGACACACCTTAGTCTTCAAACTGACATCATTACTCAATAATTTGTAAGAGTCCCTAACTGCACTTTCCCAATGAAATGCCTCTTTTATTTCCTAACAGCCAATACCAAGAGTGTTAATTATGGATCCAAGCAAGATGACGTCGAGTTTCAATCTCCTCTCCATCCATCATGTTGCTGCTTAGTGACCCAGTGTTAAGAATCTGCTTTCTTGACATTGAGATGTATTTTGAAGGCTGCATTCCTTGATCTTCTGCAGCAAGGGCTTCAAGTTCTCACTTTTCAGCAAGCAAGGTTGAAACATCTGCCTGGCAGTTACTGATGAGTCTTCCTCCAATCATGTCACCACATTCCTCCTCATTGAGTCCAGCTTCTTGATTTGTTCAGCACACAGATTGAATAGGTATGGAGAGACAATACAACTCTGATGATGCCCTTTCTAATTTTTAAGCCATGTAAGGTTCCCTTATTTTTTTGCACAAGAGCCTCCTGGTCTAGGTACAAGTTTCGCATGAGTATAACGAAGTGCTCTGGGATTTCTTCTTAATGTTAGCCATAACTTGTTATGATACAGTCAAAGGCCTCTGCATAGTCAATAAAGCACATCCTTCTGGTATTGTTTGAATCAGTTGGAATATAGCTTAGACACCAACAATAACGTAAGGGTTAAAAAAATGACACAGAAGCCAAACATGACCTTATGCTTTTATGAAAACTGATTTGCTTACAAAGTTCAATATGCATTGTATTTCACACTACTCCTCATTCATATTGTTTCATACATTCTCATGCCTTGCTTTATAATCACCATTGGACCTTGCCCATCATTACCCTGTCTTTTCACCCAGATCCTTCCCATTTCCTTCCCTTCCTCCACCTACCTCTTGATTTTTGGAAAGAAATACACACACACACACAACACCCAACCAACCATACTGGAAGACAGCTACAACCACTGGTTTACATGCAAGGTTCTATTTATAATGCAATGAGAGTACAAGCAACAGCACATGGCTCACAAAGCCAATTTATTATGTGGCCCTAAGTTTAGCTTCAGCTTTGTAAACACTTTAAATGATAGTGTCCAAGGGGAGCTCTGGTGGCCTAGTGGCAAGAAGATGCACTGCAATCCCAGAGATATGTGGTTCGAATCCACCAGATGCTCTTCTGGAGGAGGGGCAACCTCCTCCTGTACCAGTCAGATCCAATTTGATGGCACACACACAAAGAAGATAAAAATTTAAAAAATAAAAATTATAGTGTCCATTAGACTACCACATTGTTTAGTTTCTTTAGACGTCATCAAGCGCTTAATATGCTCATAGCTTTTCTTTGGGGGAGGGGGGAGTGTGTGTGGTGTGGTTACCAATCCACAAAAGTGAAACAATATTTTAAATTGAAATAGCTTTTAATTTAAAAATAGAAAACCCAAACCATTTCTGGGTAAATACAAGGGCTTCAAGAACTTTGTAAGTATTGCAGGTATCAGCAAACACAATATAGCGTGTCTATCTCTCACTTCTGTGAAGTTGGTCCTGACTCCTTGCTGATTCCACATTGAACTGCCTAGGCTGTAAATCAGAGGAACTGTCCGTCTTTTTCCTGGGAAGCCACTATTGGATTCAAACTGCCAGAGAGAGGCTCATCCTTTGGATCAGCAGCTCGGTCTCCTATGGACTGTTGTTCTTTTTGTCAGGTGCCATCAATACCACTCAGAGCAACCCCACGAACAACAGATCTCAACCGTCGCCTCTCCCGTGCCATTCTTGTTATTTCTGACAAAACTGACTCCATTGTAGCCGTCACAGTGCCAATCTATCTTGTTGAGGGCCTTCCCTTTCTAACCTTTCCAAGATCTCCTGACTGCTAGTACCAAATGTGTTAATCGTGGATCCAACGAAGATGAAGTTGTTGACAGTTTCAATCTTTTCTCCATATATCATGATGTTGCCTATTGGTCCAGTGGTGAGAATTTCTGTTTCCTTGATGTTGAGATGTAATTTAGGTATGTGTATATAATATTTAGGAGGCATATACAAAATTCAACTTCTACTTCCTACTCAAGTCTTTAAACCTGCTGTGGTAACTAAGGAACAACTTTCTTAAAGAATCAAGGATTCACAGCTCTTTATGTATAGTAATCTCAAACTGGCAACAATCAAAATATACTTTCACAGATGAATGGCTAAATAATGTGACAAATTAATACTATAGAACACTATTAAGTAATAACAAGAATCAAACTAGTGATATATATGTAACAAAGCCTGGATCTCAAGTGTATAGTACGGAGTGAAAAAAATACAACTTTCCAAAGGTCACACTACAATATGATTGCATTTATGTTAACACTATGAAATATGACAAAATTTAAGAAATGAGTGGTAGGCAGGGAATGAGGCTGATGAGGTAAATTTTAACTATAAGGGGGAATGAGAAATCTCTGTGGTGATTTCTCTATGGTTGTGTGTTTCACAACCACAGTGCTAACTACACAATGCTACATATATGACACAATGTATCAGGGCTACACAGACAGTATTGGTGGCAATTTCCTGCTGTTGATATTGTATGTAAAATGTAATTAATCACTGGAAGAAATATGGATCTGTTCTATATTATCTTGCACACCCTGTGAATCTGTACTTATTCCAAAATAAGAAGCTGTAAAACATTTACAGACACAAAGAAAATCACAGTAAGAAAAAATTAAACATAGCCAATTTTATTCAAATTTTACAAAATTTATACTCAGCTCTTATTTCTAAAACGTATGCCATACTTTTCATAATGGTTTTATTAGTTTTCTCTTCTTTTTTCTTTAAAAAGCCTTCAGTAGAAGCCAGAGTCTTGAGTTGCCCAGTTGGGAGCCTAAAAAGTACAAAGATAAAATTAATCGGAAAAAGAAAACACTTTCTAAAAAATCTAACATGGAAATATTATATGACCATTTACTTTAGGAGGAAAGTATTTTTATATTTTAATAAGTCCTAACAAATCATTTTAAGATTTTAACAATTTCTACAAGAATAAAATACCAGTTATACACTTAATAACAAAAGAAACATATCAAATTATCATCGAATTCCTAATGGCTTCCTATATTCCTAGTTAATCAAGCTGTTTAAAGAGCCTTAAAGTCAGGGTGAGATTCTACCCATAACAACAAATCCATTCAAGTTCTTTCAAAAGGATTTCCCCCAAGTGATGAACTTTTTGGTTGCCAGCTATATATGAACACTAACTAAAGAGAAAATGAAATGTGTATAGTAACAGCAGTAATAGAGTAAAAGCAACATTTCTACAGAAATATTTCCTTAGATTTAGAAATAAAACACATTTCAAAGCACTTGAAAGAGGGTTACACATGTAAGTTATCATCTGCCAGTATCAAAATGATGTGTTAAAGAAAACCCGAGGAAATGAGTTAATGAAGTCACACAGGAAGACTAAAAAGGAAAGAAAATTGGTTATAAACTAGGAACACTTAATTCTTTTCAGTTTCCTTGACAAAATGCATATAATACATAAGGAAAAAAATCCCGTTTTAGTAATTTTTAAAAACAAAACGTCCCTAATCTAACAAAAATAAAAAGACTCAATAAAGAATAATAATGAAAACTATCTCAATAAAATCTATGTAACAATTACATGTTGCTATACTAGACAATTAAACTTGTGGCTCTTACCTCTGACCTACTGTTCTGATTAAGTTTCTTTTCAATATTCATGGCCAACATCTGGCTTCTAAAGGAAAGGCTTTTGGTCTTTTCAATCACTTGCTGATAAGGTGAGACTGCATTGTTACCCATAACCACATGACCCTGAAATGCAAAAAGGAAAAATAATCTTGTATCAATGACTGAATTTCACATGTAAATCATAAAAACAGAATATTACCACATAACTGATTATACATTCAAAGGAAACATCCCCAATTATAAAATACATTAATTAAAAACTATCAAAAAAGATAAAATATTCATTTGATCTCAAGTAAGCAGCATTAAACTTACTAATTTTGAATCAATCTTGGCATCCAGTCTTGCATTTCTAATCAAATTCACAATCCACCTTTCAGCTTCTTCTGGGGTCATGTTCAGTTTATCTGCCAACATGCTAATGAAAAAGAAAAAAAAGAAAAAATAGCAATGTTGAGTGGCTATTAAAAAACCCCAAGTGTTTTTTACATGGAACAATCAGCCTAAACTCTGCATAGACTTCTGGGTATTTCTGGGTCACTCTCCTTGAAATGTACACCAAGATCCTTCCTGCGTGCACTGCTCATCTGTTTTCCGATATTATACACCATCAAGTTCGCTTCAACAAGATTGTAGAGTCTTCTGAGAAAAGATACTCTGCATTTAAAGAAATCCTTCCAAGCTTCTCCAACACTACCTTACATCTGGCAAGTATTCAACTAACAATGTCTACAAGAGGGAAAGCTGTAATGTCACAAATTAAATGTACCATAATAAACATCAGCAACAGGTACAATAAAATAAAAATAAACTCTGGGTTTTTGTGCTACAAAATACATGAGACACTGCCTGGCATTGTACATGACATAAACCTACATGTCACTCAACTTAAGAAAGGATTAACTAAATAAGACAGTGACACATGAGTGAGCTAAAAAAACAAAACAGAACAAAAAAAAAAAAACCCAAACCAAAAAACTCCCACCTCAATCTTAAAAACAAAGCAACCCATCTTTATTTCCTATCTTTCCAATTTATGATCAAGTCATCCTATTAACTGAGGAATATTATCTATGTAGAAGTATTAGTATATAGTTCATCAAACTTGCCACATTCTCAACCACTTCAGGATTCTGTGCATACCACGTCTTCTGTTTAGAAGGCTCATCTATCTGATCCCCCCCGCCCACTTAGCTACTTTCCAACATGAGTCTCAGCTAAAATAGCACTCTTATGAACCTTCTGAGATATGCTCCAACTGTGGATGTCTGTCTGATGCTTTCAATGCCTGCTCTATCCTTTCACAGCATTCAAAACAGTTGTAGCTGTTAAAACATCTGCTTATGTGAGATGCAAAGTTTTCCAGTTTTAGTCTGGGAGTTTGAAGGCAGATAACCTACAAGAAACTACATAATCTAAGATTTTAAGATTTAAGAAAAAAACAATTTTATCACGTAAAATAACTTTATTTCTCTGGCCCTACTGATCATGCTAGTCTGTGTTTCTAACATTCATATTTCAAAGTGACTCTGACATATAGGTAACATGTGAATGTGGATGAGGTTGCTCTGATTTATAATCCCAGTTGGAGTGAATATATATTGTGGGCACTTATTAATCCTTTAATCCTTAGCTATTTCCAAAGACATGGCCTAAGCCCTTTGTTATCAGTTTCAATTTCATTAACTAATATGTTCAAAGTATAAAAACAGGTATTTTTGTATTTCTGAGTAGTAATTAATGCCCATGGTTCTACTTAAGAATAGAAGATCTATAAAACCACCTCTTTAAGGTGGTCAAACCTAAAAAGACCATCTTTTAGAGGATCCTCCTTCCCTACACACAACCATCAAGATTGATAAAGATTTTAAGTGCAATTTTCACTTTTTAAAAAAAGCCAACATTTTTTAAAAACTTGGTTTCCAAATTTTATCTTAAGTATATTTTCTGTCAAATGTTGTAGCCTGGTTTTCAGTGTGGCCAACTGTTCAGACTATTCAAAGAAAAGTATGTTCTTCTAAGGGTCTGCTATGACAATTAATTAATGGAAAAGTGTTAGGTAGAAATTAAGTTTAAATGAAAAATTGTGAGCAAGCGGAGAAACCCAGGAAATGTTAAAATGTATGCTATGTGTGATAGCTGAAAATTCTGTTTGGGCACTAGCTAATATAGGAGTAAATTACCATGTATTTTATATCTAACATAGACTATAAAGACAGTAAGTTCTGATACTAGTTCTATCTAGAAATGGGGTAGTTTAACCCTATTATCAGAATAATTCTGAATAGAAGGGAGCTCTGGTGGCCTAGTGGTAAGAAGTTGTACTGCAATCCTGAAGATATGCAGTTCGAATGCACCAGATGCTCTGCTGGAGAAGGAGGGGCAATCTCCTCCTGTGCCAGTTGGATCCAATTTGATGGTCCACAACCAAAAAAAAAAAAAAAAAAAAAAAAAAGACAGTAATTCAGAATAGAAATGGTTACAAAGTAATAAAAATTGCAAGGAAAATATTAAGTTTTAAAAGGTTATTTTTAAAAAAAAAGGCGAGGTAGAATGACTTCATAACTTAAAGAAATGCAAGACTAGCTGGCAAATACCATTGTCTTTTGTGAAAAGCCAAATCTAACCCCCTGCAGGCAAATTATATTAATGTATGCTCCAACATGTTTATCATACACATTCAAAATATTACTTCCATACTTTGTTTCTATCTACAATTGAAAATTGCTCCAAGAATTATCTTAGAACAGCTTTTAAATTTCAGGCACACACCATATCTGATAAACTATTCAGCAGTACTAAATTAAATCCCACCACAGTAATTTTTCTTGACAGATGTTCCAGACTTTATGGTAAACAGACTCGTAACTTATCCTACAAATCTATAGTATTGTATATAAACTGATAAAAACATTCTTAATATGCATTTTAACAAAGATATGACTATCATATGTGCTTACAGTCACTTAGCTAAAAAAAGTATGTTTCAAATCACAAATGGAAGAAGTTGTTTAATAAACCATTGGTTTTATAATACTATTCTATTCAGCACTTGAAATGTGTCCATTTGGAGAAGGAAAAGAGGTCTTCCCCACTTTAAACTCTAAATCAAATAGTAACTTTACACTAACTAGAAGGAGAGACAGACTGGTCAGCATAAATTCCTTACTGGCGTAATTTGTTGTAATTAGTATAATAGTGAATAAAATGCCGTTTTGGGCTTAAAGGTACCACACTTAAAGATGCATTGGAACTCCATGAGCCTTTAAAATCTAAATTATCTCTAATTCTCTCTCTCTCTCTCTCACACACACACACACACACACACTCTAAAAAAAAATGCTATGTCATTCTCTCATCAATCCCTCTCCAAACACCTGGCATAGTTTAATAATGGATCCACTTCTTTAATATCTGTTTCTGGCTCTAGATTTTTAGCATGCTCATTAACTTTTGTAGTATTTTCTTCTTTGAACAGCAAGTTTGAAATCAGGTTGTGATTATGATAAACAACAGATTTATTCTCTTTAGAGAGTCAAACACATCTTTCTTTAAAAGGATCTGCACATTCTTAACTGAAAGAATGAGAGAAATGGAGCCCATATTAGTGCTGCCAGCAGTAAAGGAGAGGCAGGACGGAGTGCAGCCATAAAGGGCATAAGGGGTCTCTTGGTAAGAGAAATGTACTGTATCTTAAATCTGTGTCAATATCCTGGTTGTGATATTTTACTGTAGTTTTGCAAGCTGTTGCCTTTGGGGGGAAAAAGGCATGAAGGCTGAGACAATCTCACTGGATTATATTTCAAAACTATGTGCCAAATGCAATAATGGTTGCCCATGGTGGACAGTGTTTGGTGGAGCTCCCCAGTTAAAACAAGCTTGGAAGGAGTGGCATCCACTTCCGTAACTACCTTGCCTCCAGAAACCCTGTGAACCTTGAGAAAGGATGAAAGTCATGCAAAGGTGGAGGACTTTTGTTCACAGAGTCGCTATGCCTACGACTTGACAGCACTTAAAAACAACAACAACAACAACATGTATGAATGCACAATCATCTCAAAAAAGTTCAATTTTAATAAAGATGGGGGTAGAGGTTTAACATCTCTTCAAAGACTTTTTTACTATTTTTAGGGTTGAGGTCAGTCATTAATTATTTTTATTTCTGTTAAAAGCTGCCCATTTGATTCTTACATATAATCAAGACCATAAATCACTCACTCAGAAGCACACTTCCCTAAAGCTGATTAGAAAAGAAATACTGAGAAGCTTTAAACTGATTCTTTACACCTCAGTGGATCTCTGGAGAAGAACTAGAACTTTGTAAGGTCACTTAAAGATTTGATGTATAATTAGGTTTTAAAGTCTGCTGGTGAGGGAATGACAATTTTGTTCCTGTGTACTGTTTAAAATTAAACTGCTGGTCATTATTATGGGTTCCAAACCATGGACAAGTCAGAATGGTGTCAGCATGAAGATGTCCACTATATTTAGAAAAGTTTAACTTAAATGTTGAGCTTTTTCCCAACCAACCAATGAAGCTTTGAAAAAATGGTAAGGTACCATCTTGGACTGAATCTTAGTGGATTTCCCTTTAAATATGTCATTCCAGTATTCTTAGAATATTTTTTGTATTTACCTAAAGCTACACGTGCACCTTAACTTAATTCATTACATACTAAAAAAAATATTAAACCCTGGAGTACCATGAATTGAACTGTCTTGGCAAAAATGTGTGAGGTTGGCTGGGCACGATTCTCAGTGGCGTGGCAGTTCTGTAATGATATAAATCTTCCATGCATGTGGTCTGATGTGATCAGCCAAGCAGAGGTTGGAGATAAAACATCTTTGCCTAGGTCACAGTACTAATTCAGTATAATGGGAGTTTCCCTGGCTTCCTGTACTTTTTATTAAAAGACAAAAGTGAGAAAGAGGGATCTGACTGTCACCAAGAAAGAACAGTAGAAGGAGAGTATGTCCCATTGATGCAAGGTTTCTGTGATGAAACTCTCAGACCCAGGGGAAAACAATGCCAAGATACATGGAGATCTCTGAGAAATGCCAGATGGTGAAGACAGACAAGGATCTTCTTCCATAACCAACCTTGCAGTTAGTGCTCAGAACAGACTTCTAGCCTTCTCAGAATAAATTTAAGTCATCTACTTGTGGTATTTATGTTACAGCAGCACCTGACAGTAAAGATACTGAGTTTTCTCTTCATTACATTACATCTGTTGTTTTCATGTAGAGTTAATAAAAGGAAAGAGCTAGATCTTCCTACTCTCAAGGCACCTCCGATCAAACTTTAAGAAGAACACCCTAACAGCAAGAAGGAAATGTTAGGAAAAGCTAAAACACAAATGAATAGAGGGAACAAAAAAATCATTAACACATCCCCAGCGCCCATGTAGCACCAAACACTGCATGACATGGATACATCCAGAAGACATCATTTATGCAAAAGAAGTCAGTCTTGTTACTGTCAAGTAGGACCTGACTCACTGAGTTTTCAAGACTGTAAATTTCACGGACTTTTCATCTCTCTGTGGGGCCACTGGTGGACTCAAGTGGTAGAGATGCCTGGCCTTTGGGTTATCAGTATATGGTACAAGATCACTATCATAAAAAGTTAAAAAAAGGTTTACAAAAAGAATTCTGTACAATTACTAAGGATCAGGAGGGAGAGAGGAATAAAAATTAATATAATGATAAGTTAGGGGGAGAGAAAAACAAAATACAATATTCACAAACAGAGCAAGAGAACATTACATGGTTTAAAATCAAGAATGGTGTTCATCAGGGCTGTATCCATTCTCCATACCTACTTAATCACCTACTGAAAAAGAGTTCAAGAAGCTGTACTTTATGAAGAAGAATCAGAATTGAAGACTCACTGACAAACCTTGCTTGCTGAAAGTAAAGAAGACTCAAAGACTTGACTGCAGATGATCAAAGACTTCAATATGGATTATATCTCAACATCAAAAGCATAAAGTCCTCACCACTGGAACAGCACACAACATAATAAAAGATGGAGAAAAGATTGAAACTGTCAACTGTAAAAGGAGCAGCCACAATGTGGGATGATCAAGTCCGACTTCTACAGGCAGCCCCACAGCCTCTTCAACCTCACTCCACCATCATTTCTCACAGTGTGGAAAGTATTCTCTTATATGGTCCCACAGCTGTTGATAATTAGCAATGGATAGAAAAGCCAGTTTTCATTGTACTTAGTTCCACAACAAACACCCATGTTAGTAGCAGCCAAGAAATCCAATGACATACTACATTGGGAAAAAGTCATTGCTACCCACTTCTCCAAAGAAATGTAAGTCAAAAGTAAGGATGTCAGTGCACCTGATCCAAACCATGGTCTTTTTAACTGCTTCCAATTCCTCTGAAAGTTGGATAATGAGTAAGGATGACAGAAGTAGAATCTATGCTTTAGATTTGTGATGTTAGTAAAGAGTACTGAATGTCAAATGGACTGCCAAAAGAATAAGTAAGTCTGGTGAAACTTTTGTCTCAATCCTTTGGGCATGTTGTCAGGATGGGCCAGTCTTTTTAGAAAAAGATATCATACTGGGAAAAGTGGAGGGTTTCTTATGGGCTTGAGCATGACGGAGATCAACATGTTACAGGATACAGCAAGGCTCAGAGTCTGTTGTTTATGAGTTGCTATCATTCTAAGTAAAAGTCAATGTGATGGCATATAACAATACAAAGTTTGTATACTAGGTGGTAAAGATTTTAAAGAAAAGGAGTTAATTTCTGGACCAACATACTATCCTCTGTCATTAATAAATGTTTACCAAAAATACTTTAAAAAAATAAAAAGAATTTAGCTATTATCCACTGGAGTGTCACATGAGGTACCTACTTTATTTCATAAGCAATTATATATTATGTGTTTACAGTATTAAAAATATCCAAGTGTATGGCTACTTGTTTTTGTGCCAAGAGTTGACTATGACTCGTAGTAACCCTATGAACCCTATGAATCCTGACCTATCCAACTGCCTTACATGATTCATGATCTGTCATGCTCAGGTTTCACTGGGTTCATTCATCTAAGAGTCTTCCTCTCTTTCACTTACTTTCTACCTTTCCTTGATGTCTCTCTCCAAGGACTGGTGGTTCCTCCTGAAAATATGCGCAAGAGAGGATTTTTGTTTTCTTGAGATGTAACACACATTGAAGGTCTTTTATATTCTTCAATGTTTCAAGTCTTCTTCACTTTATGCAACCAACATTGTATTATCTGCCTAACACAGGTTGTTGGTAAGTCTACTAACTATAGCAACCAAAGTCAGGGATTCAGTTTCCTCAGCAAAATTCCCATGATCACACTGTACTTCTCTGTACAACAACTTCAGTGACAACCACCTAAAATTAGGCAATCAAATACGACGCCTTAGCAAAAACAAATGTCATTAAAGAAAAGTTGGCCTACACACAATTCCACAGAGAAAAACATTAAAGTATAACTTTGTAAGAATTTTTGGAGCCTTTACTGTTTGACTTCATCTATGGCCAAAGGGCACTCGTTATTTTTCAAACTCTAATATGTAAAATTAGTTCCTAATAGGTTATGCAAGTTTCACATTTTTTTTCACACAACAGAGAAAATTTAACTAAAATTCACAGTAATTTTTCCATGTTTCAACATTTTAGGATGTCACAGCAACTTACTATATGGGAATTCAAATATGTAATTAAATAAAACAAACTCAATTAGCTGAAATGATTACCAAATGTGGTGGTCTTTCAACAGAATTTCTGATTTACTAAGGACTAACTCCTTTTATTTGAACTCCTGTTGAAAACCATCAAAACACTAGTTAGCTCACTTTTCTCCATAAGTAACAGTATTAGGACAAGCTCTTCAAAAAGGTAACTGACATTTCTGTACTGCCTCAAGCTGATCATTGTGAAAAATTATCATGGTATGCTACACACACAGAGACGCTAAAAAGATAGTTCAGAGTCTCTAGCATCTCACAACTGACAAAAGTTAGAATTTTTAATAAATCATTATCAGATTGTTTCCCTTCTAAAAGCAATGGGAAATAAAATGAAAATTTCATTAACTGGAATTCTATTAAGTGTAACTTTACAGTAAATTGAAACTACCAGGAATTTAAAAGTAAAAAATACAAATCGAATCAGGGTGTTCTTACTTAATGCTGATACACTGATGAATGCGACAGAATGTTTCAAATATGAAGAGACGAGCATTTTCAATGAAATCCTCAAGACAAGCCACCAAGAAAAAGTCATTCACAAGCACCTGCATACATCAAAAGAAAAAGGCAAAATAATGGCACTGACAAGCAATTTTCAAAAACTTTGCTCAAATATTTTGCCTACTTTACTTACTGTTTGATTAAATAGAATTCCTTCATGTACCATGACAAGAATTCTCCTTCACAACACGCTAAAACATTAGTTTCAAGACTAGTAATTCATACAAGCAGGAAAAAGGTCTAACAACTAGAACGTTTGTTTGTTTCACGCATGACTTTAAAGCAAGAGGAACCTACTTTTGACAACACTGCTTTTCTTGTACACTATTTCTTGTACATAAATGCTACAAACATGTTTTTCAAGTTATTTAAAGTGCTTATAAATGGAGTAGAGAGGAGTATTTCTTTGACAGCAAACAGATAAAATAAAAAAATAAAATATTCGTAGGAAAAAAAATTACAAAGGGTCACTGTACAGACAGTGCCTCTGTTAAAAAGACTGAAAAGTAAACAAGTGTCCTCTGTTTCTACTTGACCAAACCCACTGGTGGAGTCAATCAGTTATACCCCTTCTGCCAGGGGAGCTCTCCCTGCAGAGGGCCTTCATTGGTAGTTATCTAGCTGGGCTGCCAACTAGAAGGCACCTGGTTCAAATCTACCAGCTGCTCTGAGAGATAAAGATGGGCCATCTCCTCCCCTATGATTTGTTTTCCTCTGAAAACCAGCAGAGAGTCAGCTACAAGCCAGTACTGGCTCAAATGGCTCATAACACCACCACCACAACAATCTTATGTAAAAGGCGCTCTGGTGGCATTATCTGTAAGGAACTGTGATGCTAGCACAAAGACTGCATGCTTTTCTAGTGATCTGAATCCAGCAGAGGTTCCTTGCAAAAAAAACGGGCATCTCCTCACTGTCTCAGAAACCCAAAAGAGAGTCAGTTATGCATTGCTTAAGCAACTCAACAGGAATGAGTTGACTTTAGAGTCGAATCTTATGAAAAGGTCGTGAGTGGCACAAACTACTCTTAATAATCTAAAGGCTGGCAGTTTGCACCAAAACAGACAGATCCTGCTGATAAAATTTAAAGCCAAGGAAACTCCACAGAGGCGTTTTACTCATGAATACATGAATGTGTGCTGCCCATCAGATGGAATCAACTAGACAGGGATGGGGGTTTTGTTTTGTGGTTTTAATCATACCAAAATAAACCATCAGGTCTTTCTTCCACAATACCAGTAGGAAGATAAGCTGCCTTTGAATTAGCAGTTAAACCATTTGCACCATCCAGCAACTTAGATCATAGCAAGGTGTATAAATTTAGTACAATCAATTATCCCAATGATGCCTACAACGTGGCTATATGAACACAAAGTACCAGACTGTGTTTGTCTAATGGTTGAAAATCATTTCTGAGTTCGTATTTATTTGCATGATATCCTCTTTCCCCCCTTCAGAGAAGGTCTTAATGTAGTCCCAGAATTTGAGTTTAAAATAAGAAGGTGACAATAATGTGAATGTGGATAAATGTACCCATGCTTAACAGAGAAGTTCTTCGCTAACTTCTATTATTCATTTCAGCTGTAACAGAAATACCACAACAGGATGGCTTTCATGAACAGAAATTTATCTCACAACCTAGAAAGCTGATGTCCAAATTCTGAGTGTGGGCTCTGGGTGCAGGGTGGCCCTCTTGAGGCCTTGGGGGAAGATGCCAATCTCCTTTCAACATCTGCAGACCTGGAGCTCCCAAACCATAGAGAATCATCACCAGACAAGGTGACACATATTTTGGGGGTGTACATAATTCACCTCATGATGGCTTACACTTTGGCCCCTCAAATTTCATGTCCCTGACACATGCAACTCTTATTCTTCCATTTTTAACTCTAGAAATTCTGTTTCTAAGGTATAATAGGGAACCATGTACAAGGTAGACACCATTTCAAATGTAAGAAACTAGAGGGAAAGAAGTGATATTATCAGGCACCAACAAAATAAAAAATCCAGTCAACAATTTACATTAGCTTGCAAGGCTTGAAAAGAATTCTGTGTTCACTGAGACCATCTAGACAGTGGCCCTGTCCTCCAGACTAGGTGCCGGCCATCACTTCTTGATTCTGAGTGGAAGTCCCGGGCCCCATAGCTCTGAATTCCAGGACTACTGTGAGAATAACTGCGCTCCCTCAGCCTCAGTGGAAGCATTATCCTAGTCCACTCCTTTGGCCCTGACAAGCCTCGCCCTTCTGCCCTGTGAGCAGGACATCATATATATACCTTCAGCTTTGCACAGTGGGTCCAACCCAAATCCTCGCACTAGTGAATGGCTACTCCATGTAATGGAACTGAGTTGGCAAAGCTGACTCTTAAAACTGAGGATGCCATGGCACTACCCCAGAAGACTCATCAGGACTGGGCTCTACCCTTTGAGACTCCAGATATCAAGGCCTTGGCCTGGTGGTAAGGAGCTGAGCTGACAACCTGCAGTTCGAATCTACCACCTGTGCCCCAGCAGAAAGATGGGCAATCTCCTCTTGTGCAATTTACTACCTCTAAAAACCAGCTGGAGGGTGAGCTATGAGTCAGTTCTGACCTGACGACATAACAAGAACAGTAACAGCTCCTTATGGAACCAAAGTAGCCCTGTTTCTCATGTGCCTTGCCTCTTCATCTTCTACCTCCTGATTCTCTGTGGGGTGGCCGAGCCTCTAACCTACTCAGGAAACTGAAGCATCTCAACCTGAGAGGAAGTCTAGGTACAAAGGTGCTCATGTCTCTGCTCTGTTGCTCAGTTAGCAAGCCTATCTCTGCAAAGCAGTGCCCAGAAGGGTTTCACTCCACCGAGAAGCCTAAGGTGTGAAGGCACTCAGTTCCTGTGAGTCTCCTATTTCATTCTGCTGCCACCATTTCTTGCCACTTTCAGTGTTACAGTCCTCACTTCCTTCTCAGCCCTCGCTAGAAATGCCCTCAACATCCATGTTCCTACCAACAGTCTCTTTAAGACAATCCATTGCTGTTGTAGTCTGCTGAGTTGAACCAACCCACAGCTGACCCTCCAGCGGCTTTTCAGAGATTGCAAATCGGCATAGAGGAGATTGCCCATCCTTCTGTGAGCAGCTGACAGACTCAAACCTCATGCCTCTGGGACTGCAGTTCAGCCTCTGACTACTAAGCCACCAGAAACTTTTACTATTGAGTGCCTTAAAACTCACAACATCAGGTACCAAATTTTGTCTTCCTTCTCTACTCTTGCTAGAAAAGAAATACCACAGTGGATGGTTCTACAAAACAGAAACGAATTCTCTCACAGCTCATGAGTCTAGAATTCTTACTCCAAGAGTGCTGACTACAGGGGGAGATTTTATCTCCTTTCAAAATTTGTCTAGGAGGGTGTCTGTGTAGGGATACTGCATATAAAAGACATGCTCCACTCCCATCCCTCTTTCCTGGTGGCACTGAGTTCCCCTCTGATCTCTGTTTCATTGTCCTTTCAATGTAGGGTGCCTTAAGCTCCCCTTAGATCAGATCAGGGCTGTGGATGATTAAAGGTGTAACATCTTATCCTAACCCCCTTACCACTGACTGGTTGATCACATGAGATGAGATAATGACATCACTCCATAAGCTTCATATACATTGCCAAACCATGAAAAATAATGACCTAGCAAGCCATGTTAACACTTACTACATGTTTGGGGGACATAATATAATTCATGATACTAACTTAAAAAAAAGAAAAATGAAAATCCCAAGACTAAATCTGAACAATTTTCGTTTCTGCTATGCACCAGAAGACACTGCAGTTGTAAACTACTTAGCTTACTTGGTTTACTGATGTTCTTAGGTTCAACTCCTAGCAACCCTATGATCTCTGACCCCTGTCCTATCCTGTGCCATCCTCACAATCTCTGACACACTTGAGCTCACTACGGAAGTCACTATGTCAATCGATCTGGTTGAGGGTCTTCCTCTCTTTCGCTGTCCCACCACATCCTTAAGCATCACGTCCCTCTCCAATGTACAGCCTCTCCTAACAACATGCCTGGAGTATGTGAGACAAAGTTTTGTCATCTTTGCCTCTAAGAGCATTCTGGCTGCACCTTTGCCAAGACATACCCTGTTTGCTCTTTTAGCAGATTTAGGTTAGTAGTTTCTTATTTATAGCAAATTTAAATCGTGAAAAACTGTAAAGACAGGCTCACTTAAGAAACAAAAAAATCTCAGTTGTGTGGTGTAAGTCATTAAAACCACTTGTGAAATATTTTACCTGATTTACTATTTCAAGAAAAGACACACTGCAATCACACAATGGTTTAACTGCTTCAACAAAGGGATATATACAATGTCAACAAAATTAAAACCATCTACCATCAACATATCCTTATATAATCTGATGTCTTGAAACTAATAAACATATTTCTGATATACCTATTTTAACAAGGTTAACTCTTAAAATACCTAAGAATTCATAATAACATTATCAATATACAAGAGACCATACTTACTGATTCACATTCTCTTAGTTTTTTCTGAGCTCCATCAAAGTCAAAGTTAACATATAAGCATTCAACAAACTCTGTAATTGGGTCTTTGTATGTGTAGGATTCCTGTAAAGTGAAAGGTGAAATTAGATCTGATGTAACATTATTTAACAGACTGCCTCTACAATATCACAATAGATCTGTTTTCTCCTTCCTTACCATCGATTTCAAGCAAATGATCCAGTATTACCTGTGTTACTGTACGTTGTCAAGCCTACTACAACTCACTCATAGTGGCCCTAAGAATGACAGCTCCAAGCCTTGCCCCATCCTGCGCATCCTTGTGATCTCTGACTTGCTCGAGCCATTACAGTCACTCTGTTGATCCACGTTGTCGAGGGGCTTCCCTTCTTTCTCTGCATGATGTCTTTTTTTGGCAGTCTCCTCTTATTAAGATTTACCTTAGAGTCTCAATAATACAGTCACTATGAGTAGCAACTCACTTGACAGCAGTGAGTTTTAAGACCACAACTTAAGCTTATCAATGCCTTTCATGGCAAGTTCTCTGATTCTCATATTACAATCATTCCAAAACCTTCAAATTACCCTTCTTCCAAAAGTCTCCTTAGTTAATAAAGAAGTGAAGGATTTCCCAGATATAAGGGTATGTGAACCATAGTGAACGACAATGTCTTCTTTTTACTTACTCCATTGATACATTAAATATTTAGTTTATTTTTCTAATTTGCAATCATTACTGAGAAGTTTGCTGAAGATCCACCAATAGGACTAAAGCTTTTGAGCAATTTGGGGATTCTCAATACTGTATTCTGCGATCTCTATGGAATTATCCGGTTAACCATCCACCAACATCAATCAGATTCCATCTCTCTCTCAGTCTAAGTGCCGAGAGCAACACAGAGAAAGAACATACAGTAAGTCCACCTAGAGGAGAGCAGGAATTATTCCAATCTCATCTAGATTAAGTTTATTTTAGAAGATAAGGAAATGGCCATTAGAGGCGCTCCTATAAATTTCTTATATATACTTCTCAGCTATTTTTAGAACATTTTTCTTTAAAATCTAAAAATCAAATTAAATAGAAAATTTGGACTTTTAGGCATTTAAAAAAATAGTTTTTACCTGCTGAATAACCTTGACAAGGTCTTTGAGCACCTGCCGGCGTTTTCGAACATCTTTGTTTGTTATGACTGCTGTAGTCAAATAGCGGAGAATATGTGGACACATTGTCTGAATGGCATTAAGATACCTAAGTAAATTGAGATTTAAAATGTAAGATATACTGATTTTCTATAATCATATGTCTTAAAAAACAGTGAAATAGCTCATTAGATTACACTATTTCAGTAAACTAAGACTTTAAGCATGAATATTATAAACACATCTCCTCCTCCAAGTAAAAGGAACGGAATTCAACCTCAAAAATAAAAACTGGTGAGAAAGCCAGAAAGCTAGTATTATACAATTTTAAGTAAGTAAGAAGGATGATGCATTTAAGAAAGTCACAATTCTATCATCATTGTTCAGTAATTAGCCTTCTTTTCATTAAACATTCAAGCCCCAGACTATGCCGTCTAATCTATCAGCTTCTCATGGGTAAAAGATGACACAATCTCTGCCAATAAAGATCACAATCTTGGGAACTGGATGGAAGGTGTCATGAGTTGTAACTGACGTGACTAAAATGTATAGTCAGTATAAAATACAATGCTTTCAACGTCTGAATATGGTACAAAACAGTTCCCATTCTTATTGACACACTTCAAGCCCACCTTTCATTTTGTTTTGCTTTGACATAAGGAGTACTGTATGAAACAAAATAAGGTAGAAAAGACTTCACAAAGAAGTACCAGGCAAGGTGTACCATGGATAAAAAAGGAAGACTTTGGAGGTAGAGAAATAGGTAAGGAGCATTTATAGAAAGAGAAGATGAAAACCAAAGCAGGGCAGGAAGCGGAACTACAGGGAGATTGTAGAAGCAGAACTACAGGGGAATTGTAGCAGTAGGCCTCAGAGGTCATCATCGTGTCTGGAGCAGGTAAGAATCAGCACCTAAATGGGTGTTCTCATTTGAACTGAATTATGAAAATTAAGGGCAGGAAAAGTCTGATTGGACAAATTCTGGATTCAATCTAGTTCACCTATCAATAGTACACACTGAATTTCTTAAGAAATTCACATTAGTTCTATTTGGAAAACAAATTAAGTACTCTTTTGCTAGCTGAATTTTGAACTGTTCTTTTTACAACTGGAAAATAACTAGAGCATTATATTACAAATGCATTCTTTCCCCTTAATAGCATGTACACTTAGCGGCAAAACCTCATCTCTAATAACCAAGGAACACTGCTGTATCTTACACCTGACACCTTATCTTGCATATTATGTTACATTTAAAAGTTCAAAATTTTTTAAATGTGTAAATCATCTCCACTTTAGATTCAGAATAAATTATATCAGAAATGGTAATATATATGATGTAAGAAACTTTAACCTGCATTAGTATCTGAATTTTCACTTCAAGGACAAATGCATAATCATCTCTAAAGTACTTCTACATATAAACATAACAAATGAAAATTCACAGCCTATATAAAATATCAATTTAACATGTACCCACTCAACTTGATTGAACTGTATTACAGTGCTATTAGAAATTAAAAACAAGGATATGATACTTTCTCCATTGATTTCTACTGTCTATGAGAAACAACTGAAAAGCTTATTGATTTTAGACATATAAATGTAAGTGACATATTAAAATTGCTGTCCTACTTAAAGAATATGCAATCCAGGGAAATAGCTGAGCAATGATCTGTTAAACCACTTAGCTACATTCTGAGATACACATAAAAAAGCAAAGTAAAAATCAAAATAATCATATATAAATTATTACATGCAAACCAACACAATAATTTAAAAAATAAAATTATTCCATTAAAAAATTAGTGAGGAAGAAAAGGAGGTGGCTCAACTCTACGGCAAGTGAAAACAGCGTAAATATTTCTATTATTGAGTACACTTTTCTATGTATTTCTAACAGGCTGTTTCTGTAAAAATGCAGTTCTATGGGCACTAGAGAGATTATCAATAAAATGGTTCTAAAACTGATTTATAGTAAGTTACCAAAAAGCAGAGAATTGTAAGCAAACAAAACACAAACAAACAAAATCTACTGGTCATTCAGCACAAGGTAACGGCAACAAACTATGGCAGCAGACACTGTATTGTGGCCACAAGCTTGTGCCGCAATCCCCTGAAGGCATGTGACTCGAGACCGACCACCAGCCACTCTGAGGGAGACATGAGCAATCCTCCTCCCACCCCAAAACACGCTAGAGTGTCGGCCATGGGTTGGTTACGACTCGATAGTACTCAGCACCACCACGTGACGAACAAACTACTTTCACCAAAAAGAAAAAAATCTTAATTATACCTCAATACCTCAACCCTTGAGTATTTAGGAAGTATGTTTGTACAAACGCTCTCCTGCTGACCACCTCAATGTTATGGCTGTTTTAAAGAAAAACCCTTGTATGACTGAGTGGTCAATCAAATGAATCCTTGTACACTAACATACACACAAAGATACAATCCTTCTTACATGAAAAAGGACAGACAAGTCATAGCTATCACACCTGAGTATCTAGCAGACATTTGGTTGATAATGAATGGATAGACTGTCATTTCTGGAAAAACAACTGTAACTGCTAATTATGAAACTAGAATTTTTAAAAATTTCTAAGTGCCATAAAAACTTTTGTTATTTTCCAATTAAAAGTCATTTCTAATGATCCTGGTAGTTGTATTAGCAATTTCTGTTATAACAATAATATACTGTGTCAACATATTCAAAGACATTTGACACCATTATTTTCCATACAATTGATAGATGCTGTTATAAAAGCACTGTGAGGTTTTGAGGTGAACTCAAAGCACAAGACACATCAGTACAGGTTAATGTATCAAAATACCAAAAGGTTGTTCACTTACATAGTTTCAAATGTCACACGACAACCTTTAAAAAAATTACTACTTGTTGTACAACAATGAATGAATGGAAATCCAAAGTCTCTGTAAATTTTCACTGAAATTAATAATAAAAAAATATTGTGACACACACACACAAATTACTACTTGTTGCATTTTGGTATATTATCAAAGAAGAATATGCACAATTATCTGAACAGACTATAAAAAAGTCTTTTCCAACTATAAGAATGTATGTCTAGGAGGGTGGGGGTGGGGTGGGCAGGGAGAAAAATGCAACAATGAATGAATGGAATTCCAAAAGCTCTGTAAATGTTCATTGAAATAAAAAAAATTAATTAAAAAAATAAAAAAAGAATGTATGTCTAGGTTCTTTTTGTACATATTAGCAAAAATAACATGCCAGAACTGAGTGAAATTCAGGTATGAAATCGAGTATGAAAATTCACCTGTCAATTAAGCCAGAAATTGTAGGGGACTATTTTTATTATTTTTTCCCCTAACTTTAAAATTAGGGGGGTTTTGGGGAAAAATATTTATTTTATTTTAAATCTAACCAATTTATTATCTTTATATCCACCAATATTTTTAAATTCTCAGTTTTCAGTTCTAATAGGATATAT